CTCTATATTTAAACTTTCAATGTGGAAATGCAGGCATGTAATTAGTTTAATGAGCTAAGCACTGGTGATAAATGCTGAACTGCAGTGGAGAAGTCCTTTGAACCTGTACATAGACAATCAGCAAGTGTTTCATTATGTTCATGTTTATGGCAATTCTGATGAAGAGAGAATCTCTGATCGCTCTGGGAAGAGGAATTGGTTCCCTTGATGCATGAAGATTTGAATGCTCACTTATGATTTGCTCAAAATTGAATTTTACAATTTTTTATCTTAGAGACAGAATCTCATTATGTTGCCCAAGTTGGAGTGCAGTGGCTGTATTCACAGGTACAATCATAGTGCACTATTGCCTTGAATTCTGGGCTCATGTAATGTTCCTGGGCACTGGTATGTTGTAGAGTAAACCTATGGGTCTTTCTTATAAAAATCCTCAGTCAAGCAAGAGACTGGGATTTGTGAAGCACTTCCTTGGGAAGGCTTCTCCTTCCACCTGTTTCTCCCCCGAAGTTCCACAGGGTTTTAGGATGCTTTGGGCTGCCTGGGGCCTCAGCTCTGTGGACCTGCAGCTTCCCCTGCATGTCGCATCTCTGAATGAAGGCGTCCTCTGGAGGCTTTAAGAAAAAAGTGTTAAGACACAAAGAGGGCAAGTTGGAATTGTAAGATACTGCAGAAAGAAAGATCCTGGACTCTGAGTGCCACTCTTTCCTGGCTGTGTGCTCTTGGGCACAACAGGACCTAACTTCGGAGTCTCCTTCTTCACTTGCTGATACAGGGGCCTGCAGGAGCACTCAGTAGAGGGGCTTCTGCCTCCAGACCCTGGTCTCACTGGACAGTGGTGCCGTATACAGCCACTCGCCTTCCTGGACCACAGAGCCTGATGGAGATCCAAAGTCGGGTCAATGCTCAGTGCTGCGACTGCCTCCTCCACAGGCCAAGACTTAAAACTCCTACTGCCTTTGTTCCTTGTGTGTTTGTTTTTTCCAAATAAAAACTCAGAATCACTTTGTTAAAATAAATGAACAACTACAAACAAAAGGTAGAAAGGAGGAGGATGCTCCGAGGAGCCAGAAGAACACAGACCCACCTGCCCCTATACCCCCTGGGCCTGAGGGCCTGGACCTTTGGCCTTCCTCGTATCTTTTTTCTCACTTGTGGGGAGGGGAGAAGAATGAAGAAGCTGCCAGAACCCCCAGGCCCTGTGCTTTTCCCTGTGTTCTCATGGTGTCCACCTGCCCTGCTGTTAGCCTGCGAGGGTGGCTGGAGTGGAGCAGGGTTGGAGTGCATCAGGGTGTTGGGCAGCAGGGCAAGCCTGAGCCAGCTCCGCAGGTGCTTCTGGCCGAGGCGAGACTGACTCTGGGAGCACCGCTGGAATAGCGGCCACTGGCAGTGACTAGATTGGCAGCTCTGGGCACTTTAGAAGTTCAGGGATGCCTCAGACTGGAAGGGTGGCATCTAGGTGGGGCAGGAAGGAAGGGTAGGAAAGGTTCGTCTGAAGTCAGCATGGCGGGGATTAGTAGTAGCTGGGAGGGGACAGTTACTCAGTTCCTGCCATGCCCTGCAGACTGGAGCCCAGGGCCCAATGGCTCTGAATCGTTGGGAACAAAATCCTCAAGAACAATATCTTGAGCCTGGTGGAATACAGCAGTGGTTTGCCCAGGTTGTCCCCTCTGCCCAGAGAGTTCACCTCCACTTTATCAACCCAGAAGAATCCTGGCATCTGTTAGGATCTAACTCCAATGTCCCCTCCCCTGGGAAGCCCTCCCTGACTGCATGCAGGAAGCATTCCTCTCTAAGAGCACACTTGACTTTGTATTGTTATTCTCCTGGAAATACCACTGAACTTTTCTTGGAGATCCAGGGCCCAGTGGCCAGGAGACCTCTAAAACAGACTAGAAACCTTGGTAAATGTTTGCTGACCTAAGTATGATGAAGAATGCTTGAGGCACACTTCTATCTGTGCTCCAAGAAGGAGAACGACCCCTCACCGGGCCTGTTCTCATGGCCTCCACTTAGGAACTGATGCCTCTCACCGATTCCAATGGGAGCTATTCTTTCTGAGCCTCTAAGTTCTGCCGCTGCTCACCTCCTGAGATGCCATGCGACAAAGTAGGGGAGGTGGCCTCTGGAGCAAGGATTCCTCAGGTCCAAATTCTGTTTCCACCACCTACTAGCCATGTGGCTCTGGCTGGGTTAGAAGATCGCCAGAGTGCCTACTGCCTGTGAGGACTAAAGGAGTTACCATATGCAGGAGCACTTAGGTCAGTGGCTGGTGCATCACAAACACTCAGTAATGACAACTATTATTTTTATTGTCTCCCCAAATCACAGAAACAGACGTCCACACTGTCTCAGGGACTGTCCTGAGTGCATCCGGGGACAATGGGTGTGTGGGGACTGGCCATCCTGCAGCTCTCCACAGCCTCAGCCAGGTCCCATGGGGGAGGGGCAGCCATGGCCGGTGGCTAAGGACAGGCCTATGGAAGGGAGGGCCTCGGGGTGACCTGGCTCCTGGTACCAGATCCCATGCACTCATAAGCCTCTTCAGAGCTCCCGAGTGAGGGCCTCCTAGAGCTCAGGACTGCCTTTCTGTTTTTGGCTTCTTGGCCTTTACTGCGTCCTTGGGGACAGGCTACTATTTTAGGTAGCAGTCAAAATAAAACTGAGATTAACCCAGAATTCTTGGCAGTCAAACAATACCATAATTATGTGCTTTTTAACTTCAGAAATCAGGCAGCCACAGCTGACCCGCCGCAGTCCATGGGGTGCCCTGGGGATAGTAAGGCCTCCGTCCTGCGCTGGGTCACCTCTGCACACTCTAAGCTGCAGGCAGCCACTAGAGGACTGTGGGGCTCTGAGGGATGCTATTTCTCCTCCTGGGAGCCATTGTCTGAACAACAGTACAACTTGCTTTCACACCAGACGTTGCCAGGTTGGAAGGGTGACTTATTACTTTCTATATCATAAATCCTCTTGCCTAAGTCCCAGTCCCAGGGACTGGTGGGCTGTGAGGGAACAGAGGAGGCTTGTGTTCCGGGCTGGGCTCTCAGGGCAGGAAATCACCCGGAGGAATATGTTTGTGCTTTGATTGCCGACAAGGGCCGCAGACCCTCTAGTGGGGCGAACAGGCCCCTTCCTCTTTGCGGGAGCCGAGGGGGAAGGGAGGGAATTAGTCACACACAAGAGCAACAGGATTAGGCCCCTGAGAGTAAAATCCTTCACTCTAACCCAGAAAGAGGAAAAAAGAATGGGAGATTCAAATAGATGGGGGTTGAAATGATGTCAGTAAAGGTCACTGCCTGAAGAACAAAGAAGCAGCCGAGATTAGAGGCTTGAGCAGATCTCTAAGCTCTCAGGCAAGACCTCAAAATGCCTGGAAGAAAGAAAGGAACCAATAGACCCCAGCTCCAGGGGCTGTCCCAGAGGTGTAGCTGGAAAAAAACAATTTTCCTTGAAACACTGACTTGGCCCCAGGAATAAGGTACTTCTGGAAACCTGATGCTCCTAGCAGGGGTACACATCTTAGTGAGGAAAGTGGTTTGCAGGGAGTTTTGAAATAGAAAAAGACACTCCAGTGTCCTCTGGCAGAGCTGCCCTGTTGGCATGGAGGCAAACAGATACCGTGCATGGTGACAGGCCTGCATTCCTTTAGGGAAAGGCCATCTGGGCGTGGGCACCCAGCATTCAAAGGAGCGATGTGCTGGAATGGTCTGGCTGCTCCCTCCCCAACAGGATGGAAGCCGCTTTTGCTGATGACTGGAGCTGCGCGCTGTGCTCCTCTCAACCTTCAGCATCCTCCATTGACTCCTCGCCGCAGGGTCCTCAGGCCCAGTCTTTTCCACCAGCTCCCTGGGAGAGTCTCCTGGGAAGAGCACATTTCTTTAAAGACGGATTCTGACTTTCCACTTGGTTTTAGTTTGTTTGATTTCCACCCCGTTAACGCCTTTATTAAATGTCTTTCTCTACCACAGGAGCCTCAGGAACAACAAGCCTTGGGAGGTTGTTCTTGGGGACTGAATGATCCCGAGACATGAACCTTGTCTCAGGGACAGGACCTTGAATTTGATCCAGGAGGCAGGCAAAGGAAAAAGAGGCTGTGATAACCACTGAAGGAGGCCAGGAGTTTTAAACAGCTGGGACTGGAATGCAGGGCCTCTTGGCAGTTCTCTTGGTAAAGGCGGATGGGTTTTCACGCTAGAAGGACTACCCTGCTCTTATTTTCCCATCCTGTGTGGTCGCTAATTACAAGGAGATGTCAAATTCCATTATGAAAGAGAAGCCACTTGGCCATCTCCCTCTGGGGACCTCATAGCAGTGCCTTTGTCCCTGCAGATCTGGAAGAAATGAACTGATCCTCTGTCCAGGGCAGGAGGAGCTTCTGATGAGCAGGTTGGGGGGGCAATAAAGTGATTAAGGAGGGCTGAGCACTAATCCCACTGGGCTGCAGCCTGTGCTTGGGCAGCTTAGCCGAAGTGAAAACAAGGGGAGCCACAGAGGGGAGCCCCACAGAGTGGAGTCGAGGTCCCCAGAGTTAGGATGCCAGTGCTGGTGGCTGGGGGTCCATGTCCAGCCTCTCAGGTGGGGACATTGGTAAAGAAAGGGCCGCCATCACACCGGTCCCATTGTGAGTGACTTCCAAAAGGCTGTGTCCATTACTGGCCTGCAGTGCCTTCCTGGGCTCTTTCTGCTGCTGGGGCCACCCTATCTTTGGGCCTTCACACACAGGAGCCCTTGTTTGTTGGACTGTTATAACTCCCAAGGAATAGACACCACCAAATCTGTACATGTAAGTGGTGCCTGCAGAATTCAGAAGGCTGCCATAGATTCTTTCTAGTGCAAAGGGGTGCATCAAAGGATCACATTGCAGAAAATGCCTGCTTCCTGCAGCACGGTGAGCCTGTGTCTACAGGGATGATCGGCTGTCCAGTCTGAGCTACTTGGCTCCCCTCCTGCCACCCAGCCTGGTGTCCAAGGACTTTTGTCTGGGAAAGGTCCCATCTAGTGAGTCTTGGAGAGGTGGGCCTCTTCTCTGGGATGGGCCACAGGAGAGGGAGGTGCTGGAGAAGATGGCGGGAAGCTGATGCAATGTCCTTCCTACCCCTGACCTGCCATTGGTATCTGAATAGGATGGGGCTGGTGGAGGTGTCCTCAAGGATTTCTCTCCACTTCCACCCACCTACCCATAAAGACCTCTGAGAGGCATTAGCCCTCTAAACTGTTCTTAGCTGATACCCCAAGAAGAAACTGCCTGAAGGAAGGGTCCAAGGGAACTGATGCATAAGGGAAATGCTGTGAGCACCCGTGGGGTAAGTCCCACACGCCAAGAGCCTCTGTCCCTGCCACCCACTTCTCCTTACCCTACTCTGCTTTGTCTTTTGTAGCCCGCAGCACTCGTCACTTCCCACCGCACCACTACATAGTTCACCTCCTTCTCTTCATTGTCTATGTCCCACTCACATGTAAGCTCATAGAGACCCTGTCTCCTTCATTCAGCAATACATCCCAAGCACATATAACATTTCCTGGCACCAGCAGGCACTCAAAAATATATACTGAATGAACAAATTTCATGTGGGATGTGTATGCATGATGGTATGTGAAATATTACAAGATTAGGCCTCCAGAAATAAGCATTACGTAGGGCCTGTGAGGGCCTTAAAATGGCCCAGCCTGCCTGTACTTCCTTTGCTAATGATTAGGCCAAGCATCTTTCCACATATTTATCACACATTTGTGTTTCTTCTTTTGTGAAATGCCTGCTTATGTCTCTTGTTCATCTTTTCTCTTGGGTTGTCTGTCTATTTCTTTCTGATTTGTAGAAATCTTTTATATATTCTGGAAACAAATCCTATATTGATCCTATTGTGTATCTCCCAGTTTGGGGTTTGTCTTTCCTATTTCTTTGTGGTATATTAATTTTAATGTAGTATAATTTATTAATCTTTTATGATTAATGCTATCTGTGTCTTATTTAATGAATTTTTTATATTCTGAAGCCATAAAGATATTCTTCAGTATTCTCTCTAAAAGTTTTAAAGTTTTGTCTTTCACACTGAAATCATTAATCCACTAAGAGTTGATATTTGGGTAGGGGTGAAGTAGCGATCCAATTTTTTGCCTTATTAACCACCAATTATTGTTACTTATTTACTAGTCTGTTCTTTTTCCAGAATCTGCAGCTTCACTTCTGTCTTATATCAAGATTCCATATTTGGCAGGTCTATTTCTGGGCTCTCTATTCTGTTCCAATGACCAGTTTTTCCATTCTGGCATCAGTACATTTTGTCTTGATCACCACTTCATAATAAGTCAATAATATCTGAAATTCCCTCTTCCTTATTCTTCTTCTTCAGAGGTTATTAGTTTTTGTTTGTTTGTTTGTTTGTTTTTTGAGACAGGGTCTCACTCTGTTGCCCAGGCTGGAGTGCAGTGGTGAACACAGCTCAATGCAGCCTCAACCTCCTAGGTTCCAGCGGTTGTCCCACCTCAGCCTCCCAGGTTCTCCCACCTCAGCCTCCCGAGTAGCTGAGACCACAAGTGCATGCCACTATGCCCGGCCAATTTAAATAAAGTTTTTTGTTTGTTTGTTTGTTTTTGAGAGAGACAGGGTCTCATTATGTTGCCAACGCTGGTCTCAAACTCCTGGGTTCAAGCAATCCTCCCACCTTGGCCTTTCAAAGTGTCGGGATTACAGGCATGAGCCACTGTGCCTGGCCTATTAGCTATTCTTAATACTTTACAGTCCACCTAAATTTGGAATTATCTTGTCATATGTCTCAAAAAATCCTATTGGGATTGTGAGGCGAATTGCATTGGCTTAATTGCTTTAATTAATTATTTTAGGGAAAGCTGATGTTGTTGCGATAGGGAGTTTTCCTGTCTATGAACTCAGATTACTTCTTGACTTTTAGGACTTCTTTAGTACCTTTGAATAAAGTTATACTTTTCTCCATGTAGCTCTCATACTTTTGCCCACAATCTGGGTTGTGTCTTATAGTTGATGGCATCTAGAAATTATAATTGGCAGTCTTTTTCCTTTCTTAGAGTGTATAAAGTCATGGTTCATCGTATCACTGATGGCGTCTTAGATTCTATGAAATACACTACTTTTGTTGCTTTGCAGTAGTATCTTTAAAAAAAAACAAACCACTAAATTTCTGCTCACACATGGTGACTACAATTAATTTTTGTATATTGATTTTGTATTCATCAACAGCCTGTACTTCCTTTACTAATAAGGCTGAGCATCTTTCTACATGTTTATCAAACATTGGTGTTTTTTCTTTTGTGAAATGCCTGTTTCGTGACTCCTTTCATCTTTTCTCTTGGGTTGTCTTTTTCTTTTTGATTTGTAGAAATCCTTGCAGAACTTTTATTTATCTAATAATTTTTAATCTGTTGTCTGTTCCTTCCACTGACTCTTGTACATGGTGGCTTTGTTTCCTTGTGCGTTTGGCTTTCTTTCATTGTAAGCTTACATTGTCATAGTCTTAATCTGTGGAACTATGGCCCTAAAGTGGGGATACTTTCCTGCATAGGGAGTTTGCATTTGCTTCTGTCTAGATCCAGAGGATGCATTAATCTGGAACCACACAAGCCCCTTAAGAGGTCCCTGGACTTAATGTGGCAGCCTTACCTTACCTCTAGCCCAAGCCTTTTTCTTCTGGACTAGCTCCTAGATAGGCACTTACTCTCAGGTCAAGTTTCACTCTTGGTTATTTACTGCTTTACCCAGGTTTAGTTTCAACTTTTGAATTTGGGTCAGAAAAACCTGGGAGAGAACTTAAGGATTCACCATACTTTTTGTAAGCCCGACAATGTACTAAAAATTGGACTTTATTCAAGAATTTGGGATCCAGTCATTTTTTAATGGGAGAATCCTTCAGCCTATCTGTGGCCGTTACCTCTTGCCCTCCACTCACTAGGCAGGTACCTTTTAATCCAGACTGTGCACTTTAGGCCAAACCATCAACTCCAAAAAACTACCATTATAGAAGTTATATATGCCTTCTGTACAAAATTTGGAATAAACAAAATAGTACAAAGAAGAAAATTAAAGTTACCTGTAAATCCCATTCCCACCCTGGGATATAATCACTTTAATATATTGGTGTACGTAGCAGGTTGACTAGTGGCCCCCCCCAAAAGACACATCCACTTTAGAATCTGTAATTATAATCTTATTTGGAAAAAAGGTCTTTGCAGATGTAATGAAGTTAAGAATTTCAACACGGCCGGGAGCTGTGGCTCAAGCCTGTAATCCCAGCACTTTGGGAGGCTGAGACGGGCGGATCACGAGGTCAGGAGATCAAGACTATCCTGGCTAACCCGGCGAAACCCCCGTCTCTACTAAAAAATACAAAAAACTAGCCTGGCGAGGTGGTGGGCGCCTGTAGTCCCAGCTACTCAGGAGGCTGAGGCAGGAGAATGGCGTAAACCCGGGAGGCGGAGCTTGCAGTGAGCTGAGATCCGGCCACTGCACTCCAGCCTGGGCGACAGAGCGAGACTCCGTCTCAAAAAAAAAAAAAAAAAAAAAAAGAATTTCAACATGAGAACATCCTAGATTCGAGTGGGTCCTAAATCCAATGGCAAGTCCTTATAAGAGAAGAGATGGGGCAAGAAACAGACACCAGGGAGAAAGCCATGCAAAGACCAAGGCAGGATTGAAGTGATGCTGCCACAGACCAAGGAACGCCTGGAGCCGCCAGAAGCTGGGAGAAGCAAGGAAGGATTCTCCCCTCCACCCACCAGAGGGAGTGTATCCCCACTGACACTTTGATGTGAGGCTTTTGGCCTCCAGAATTGGGAGAGAATAAATTTCTATTGTTTTAAGCCATCAAGTTTGTGATAATTTTTTTACAGCAGCCGTAGTG